AATTTCATAAAACATCGCGCGCACGAATGCGGACTCGTTCCACACATTGCAGGGAGGTTCAATTTCTGGCAAGAAGTATAGATGCATGCGCGGATAACGCGCGGTGCATATAGAGACAAAATAAATAACAAACTGCATCGCTGTCAAAAAAGAGAACGGCCGACTATATTTTCGTATAATACCAGATTCTCTCTCTCTCTCTGCCCTCTCTGTCCTCTCTCTCCACCCCTGTCTCTATCTCTCTCTGTCTCTCCGTTTCTATCCCTGTTCCTTCCTCCCTCCCTCCCTCTCTCTTTCTCTCTCTTTCACTTGCTCTCTCTGTCTCACTGTTTCTTTCCCTTATTTTATGCTTTTTCGCTACATTCATCTACTTTCCGTTTCGACTTGGTCCCTAGTGAGTGGCGGCAGAGGCAAAAGTTCGCGCGAACTGTGACATATTTGGAGCACTTCGCAGCCGCTTCGCGAAAATGGCGAAGGAGTGTTAGTTATTCCGCAATACTTTTTGACGAGTGCAATCTGGCAGTGACTTGCAAGGTCACTTAAAATATTATACTTAACACGTTCCAGCTGCGACTCTACTATCAGTGGAACTTTGAGAAGCTTGTAAATAATTTCACGTTTCGTCATTTTTCCGTTTTAATTATTTCTTCACAATTATCGTTTAATTATTCATTATAATTATATTCACGCGTAGAAGAACGAATGGAATAAAATGTACGAGAAATCCGCTAATGAAATCTAACGGAACGACTGTTTGAATTTAATAATCTTAAATTCCTCTCTGCCCAGTTTCTCATTTCTCTTCCTGTGTATTCTTAGAATCATTATTACGATACGATGTAAAATTTAGAGAATGTACAACAAATAATCGTAATTACGTTGATTGTTGATTGCTTAATTAGGGAATCAGGTTAATTAAATACCAGGTTGGTGCAACAAATTTGCTTTTTTCTAATAAATTAATATAGAAAGTTTACATTAAATTAAAAATAAAAAGTCCTGGGTTAGACGTTCAAATCGATAAAAGTACCAAATTGATATTGTTCATGTTATTCGTAAAAATTATTAAGTTCTCAAAATTAGATAATTCCGTTTTTTATTCAATAAAATAATATTTTTGCTATTACGTATTTTATTAAATAAAAACGGAATTACAATTTTGAGGGCTTAATAATTTTTACAAATAACATGAACAATATCGATTCGGCACTTTTTTGATACACATGGGAAACCTTTTCATCAACCTAATATATCTGTGTGTGTATAATTCGAAGGATTAATTCGTCAAAGACGTTGCAGAATTATATTCCGTCTCGTCGAATAAAATATTTCTAACTACGCGCGAGTGCACGACAAATCTGCTTCTCCTTTATTAATGAGGATCACTTACGAACGGACGGGGAAGAAACTATGTGATCACGGGAAAGTTTCTCATCCAGAGAAATAGATAATGCCGATTGATCGGCTACTTGTTGAAATAACGATGATTCCTTTAAGCGAGAGGATCATCAAGTTCTCGAGTTCTCTCCCAGAAGCTATCTGTAAAGCGCGCATATCCCGAATTATGCATGACTCGTACACATGTCGCACTATGAGGGCAGTATAAAGCGGAAACGGGACATGTCTCGTCTATATGTGAAACGTTCTCTTTTATATTTATAAATGTCGCACGTGCACGAAACCACATGTGAGTCCTCCTAATTGCCGCTTGCATTGTTGCAATTCGCAACGCATTTGCGAAACGCATGCACCGACACTACTTCAGCCCGTAGGGCGTCGTCGAACGGAGAGATCGAGGTTTGTCGCCTTCGTGCGTCTGCACGACAAGAAACTGACACATGTACACACGTAGTTTGCGTAGGAATCTCGCCAATAGACGAGTATTCTGTAACTTTTAACGACAGTGTCGTTATCCTTGCGTTGTTATTGCACATGTAGAGAGAGAGAGAAAGAATTAGTCATAGGAGCTCAGATATAGCTGTGGCAACTAAGAGTGTCATTGAAATAAGAACAGCTCTGATGTCGTCGCTACCAAAGTTGGATATATTGACTATTTAAACTTCAACGCTACAGCAAAAAATATTCGCTGCTGAATGCACAGGATAGTAATAAAGCTACGCTTTATACTCATCAGAAACATAAAACTGACGCTTCGCATCATAAATCCAGATTAAAGCTTACAGTTGGTCCACTTTAACGCAAACACGAAAACCGATGTCTGTCGTATTAACATGTTTACGCTATCTGATTCTTATTTCACAGAAGGACGATTTCACGTCTATCGGAATCGCGGTAATTTTCCCTTTTCAACGTTTCTTGTTTCAAGTCGCTAGGACTACAAGTGGAGTTGTTGACATTTGTATCGATCCGCGTTCTCGATTCGCCGGCGAGTAGATCACGAGATGCGATGCGTGAGTGAAAAGCAATAGTTACGTTTCGCAGGAATTGTTTTCAAAAATCACCTTACGTTATACATGACGACATGCACTCCGCGGCTCAAATAAATCGCTGCGCCACGTAGTTGTTCATCTCACTTTTAGAAGAACATAGCATAAATCAAACGTAGTACGCACGAAGCTAATCAGTGTTAGCATTCAAGATCTAGCTTAAACCTAATGTCGATGCCGTGGCTTTAAACGGCTTTTATTTCACTGATAAGTCGATTGTAGCGATGTAAAATAAAAAGCAATATCTTTGGCACGTGTTTATGCCGTTCTTTCATTTTCCATTTAGAAAATTCGAGTATTGTGATCAATTAAAGCACGATGAGGCAAACAGCGCTGACCACATAAGCGCACCGGCTCTAACAACTAGCCCCACATAGCAAACCAATCGGCCAATGGCAATTAACCTCGCGCAACTGGCTAGTTCACTGTACGGGGCTAGTTGTCAGGGTCGGTGCGTGGTCAACACTGTTTGCCTCATCGTGCTTTGATTGATTACGTCATTCGAATTTTCTAAATAGGCAATCAAAGAGCGGCACAGGCGTTTTTCCACTAGCAAATTTCTATCTCACAGTGAAGATATTTTATCTGTGACAATCAATTCTTAGCAATGACAGAAAAACAATTAGTCTTTTAGCTAAGTTTGAATCAGATTTAGCAGCCACTGAGATTTAGCTTCTATTACTGAGTCATTTCTTCGCATGCAAGTATAATATATGATAGAAAAGCTGCGTAACAAAACACCATATTAGTTATACACATTATCGTTAAGAAGTTACAGAATAGATCTACAGAACGACAAATTGCATAGCGTCTGTGAAAGCGCGCGATTGAGTCGCGCGTTTATATTCAGATCGAGGATTATTCCTGAGTGAATTTTAACGAGTTAAAGTTCCTTTGCCGTGGAACTCTTGATAGATGACGTCAAACACGAAAAAGCGCATGCTCCAAATTCTTGCGTGACATGCAACCTTCCTCTTTGACCTAACTTTTCTCATAACTTTGTCACGTCATTTTTATGGCTATTTATTGACTGTCAAGGGAAAAGGAGCATTTTGCAAGTATGCTCTGTTGGTCGCAAGAGTTCTTTCTTTTAAAAATTTGTTTATTGATTTCATCCAAATATCTACTTGAAAATGACGCAAGAATTTTCAGCGTGTCAATTCTCGCCTCTGACGTCACGATCCACCATGATCGCGTCTATTTAAGAACCTTAATTGTTCCTAGAGAGTTAGAGATCGTGAAAGCAAGTCCGCAGTCGCATACTTCGACGAAAGCGACAGTATTTTATATGCTCGTAGAAGTAGATAAAGAGTAAAACGTAGTGCATGTGCGGGACGAGGTTTTGACGTGTCTTGCGATTATCTCGAAGCTGCATTTTCAATCCCCTCGCCGTTTCACGCTGCAGTTTTCCGACGCTGGAAATCGGCGATGCGAATAAAGAAGAAATTTGAGACTCCGTGTACGCTTACATACACACATACGCGCGCGCATACACGTCGATATTTCGTAATGTCTCGCGTTCGGCCTGGCGTGAAACAAGAACAAGAGACATCGAGCGAGAACGACGGGGATATTTTCCTATTTCCGGATCGCAATCGGAACTCGACGAAGCGCGGAATTCGCGAACTGTACAAAATTTGCCCGAATGCAACGAACCTGCTGCAATATAATGCGCACGGTCGCTAACGCGTACAGTAGCAAATATTGGCTTAATTTCCGACGAAAAGATCCGGCTGTGATACTAACGTTACACAGATAGGGAAATACAATTCCGCAAAGTTGCATTTTTTAAATCATAACTCATTATCATCAATTAATTAACTCCAAATGGAACATTGTTTTCTCGCGTTAACTTAATCCTCGAAGCAAGCCGAGTGAAATGCCAAATTTCCACAAAGAGCTCGTTTATTCGAAAGCACGATTAATAATTCTAATTTTGCTTTATTAACAGAATAATTTTATTGCTACAGTAAATACATAAAAAACAATAGAAATTAAGGTCCTTCTTATACTGAGAAAAATATTTCAAAATTGATTTGTGATACATAAAGTTAATTTCTGTGAAATAAAGTTTATTGCTGCGAAAAATAAGCTTTGTATCCCATAAATAAATTTTCAAATATTTTTTCTCGTTATAATTATATAATTTTCTAATAATTACGGCTCTAAATTGATTTATCGACAAACAAAAACAAATTTACAACGACCGAATATTGGGAAAAGTACTTGAAAATTTATTTGTTAAAAATAAAAATTTATTTAACATAAATAAATTTTATCTCCCAGAAATAAATTTCATTTTGCGGAAATAAATTTTGTATCCCACAAGTAAATTTTCAAGTATCTTTCTCAGTGCACGCATCGCTCGAATTCGCGTTCCCGTTGAAACAACCGGCGGAATCTCAGCGGCGTAAGATGGAATTTGACGGAATCGCGTCGCGAAGCAACGCGCATATTTCTGCAGCGAATCGAAGATCTTCGAGATGATCGCACTACTGAAAGTGATTGCTCGCGCCCCTGCCCTCATTAATCTGCGTCTCTGATGCTGTTCAGGCAAGGTGGACGAGAAAGCGACGCAGCTGCACGCGATAGCGTCACTGAAAGTGCTGCTGGACGCCACGAGGCCGCACAACGGCGCCGCGACGTCGACCGCCGCCCATTATTCCGGCGCGCCCTCGAAGGAGACGACCCTGCAGCTGCAGCAGGGCTCGCAAGGCACCACTACGACCACCACGACTACGACCACCACCGCCGGCACCACCGCCGGTATTCAGGAACTTCCGAACGGTGGTATTGCCGTCGGTATCGACGCTGGCCTCGAATCGGTAATTATCGTTCACATACGAAGGAACATTCGATATTGCGCTAGTGGACCCAATCGATAGACCCGTCGATCGATCGGTTCCGTTACCGTGGATTCAGGATTGCCCAATCGCGCAATCGAGATGTATCAGGTTGGCGCAAAAGATAGATGTGCTATCACTTATCAAATAAAAATCACACAGAAAATGCCATTTTTTTACTGCTAAAAAAAGTGATTACACTGAGAAAAATTTCTGGTAATAATTATCCAGCCTGTGTTATAATTACTATATTTAGTGAAATACATTTAGTGAATATCAACTAAATATAAGAGGTGAATATTACTATATGAAAGTTGTTACTAACAATTTTGTAATTATTACCAAACATTTGGTAACATTTACCATATTGATTACTATTTATCAAATGGTACGGTAAAACGCATTTGGTAAGTATTACTAATTTTTTTTTTTCAGCGTACTCCGTTTATTTTCCTTCTTTAACACTTTGACGGCCGCAGTCATGCATACGTAACTTTATTCCGACAGCGGCTATCGCCTTGTAAAGAAATATTTCGCGATAATAATAATTTATTACTGTAACATATTATAGGAGCCATGTACAGTTAGATGTGCGGACTTATGAACTAATAGAATGTCTATCCCTTCAGATACCTTCTAAACGAGCTTTGGATATCTGTTGACATTAATCTAAAATTTTTATGAAATAAGTGCGGCCGTCAAAGTATTAAATAATGGCTATCTTCGATAAGGATTTCGATATTTTCTTAGTAGTTACTTGATAGTTTTAAAATATAATATTTTCCTCACAAATCTGAGAGCTCATTATCATGTACTCTAAAGAAAAATTTATTATTTTTAATCAAATTTAGATTAAAAAAGCCATTAAGAACTCATGCAAGATGTCAGTTACAAAATACTTTACACCCATTATTTGTAAGAAAGAAGGCACTGAACGCCTCGAAAAATCAACCATTCATTGGGACGTACAGTACATCATTTCTTCTTTATTTGTGGGCGTAGAATATTTCGCAATCGATTTCTTGCGTGGGTTCTTACCTACCTACTAACCTTACTGACCTAAATTCGATTGTGCACCCGTGTACTCGACAGTTTATTCAGAATTTATTCTCTTTAGAACAAGAAAATTATAAAAATTCATCAAAGAGGAAAAGTTAGTTCTCTATTATGTTTAGTTATGCAATAGGTAAACCAAATTTTTGTTTTAATTTTACATTCTGGATTGAAATGCTAAACTTTACTAGGATTCCGAATATATTTTCAATAAATTTTATAGTCTTATGATGAACTTATGAAAGATTATAAACTTATGAAATATTTGAAACATGTAACACTTGAATGCAGTATGTAGTTCTGTGTGTAGAAAATTAAACGATCCACAGTCTCGAAGGATAAGTAATTTTGACGAATGGAATGAAACAACGTCGACTTCTATTTATATTTTTCAGACATTTAATGAATACTTTCTATGCTCCTCTCAAACTTCCTATGAGAATTCGATTGAGAGATGAATCGATGACGAATCTTTTCCAGCTTAACGTCTCGCAAAGATTCTCCGTTTGCGTTGTGTCCCTTCAAGTACGTAGATTTTCACGATTTCATAGACACAGTCAAGAGAAGCGGCGAAAGTTTCCAGTGCAAACGTATTCGCGTTGTTTCGCAAAGTCGATCGACAGGGGTCGTCTCCGCAGAAAGTGATCCGCTGATCGTGCGAAATTCACCTGCGCGTTGGTGACGTAAGAATCCACGATTCGTTAGACAGTTGTGCCTCCAGCCGAGAGATTGGAATAGTTGGCGCGTTTGCCGTGCCGTATTGTCGTAAAAACAAAAGGGCCGCGAGAGCGCTGATTGGAATTTGTCGTTCCACTTTTCTTGGCGAAGCGCTCGTGATTCCGGCCGCCGTATGTATCGGCCGTCACGTACCGCGCCAGACGTGACCCTTGAAGGGGCTCTTGTGGTTTCTCTCCAGTGTGACCGCGCGGGAATACGTCAAAACGCGCGGGAGTCAATCCGCGACTCGATAAATTACCATGATAGGCTCATTTCGGGATTAATACGACTTCGCGATCGCTGTCGCGCGCCCCGGAGCACGCGTCGCGAAGGGCACGTCAGTTCGATATCGTAACGCTCTACTTTCCGTTGTGAAATGTTTGCTCCTATCACGACTTGGATATCCCGAATTAGAATAGGCGGCTTAATTTCCACAATACTGCGAATCACGCAAAGTAATCCTTTTTTAAGCCGCACGTCGAACGCTCCGAATGTAACATACCGCTCTGTATAATTTTGAGCCTTTCGTACCTCGTACAGGAGTGCTTATCGATCTGAGATCGAAATAGTACAGCTTTATCGTAAAAACGGGAATTTGTATCAAGGCTCTCAGATGCTCACAGTCACTAAGAAATACAAATGGACAATAAAAGCCACGCAGATTGACGACTAAACTTTCCGAGGGAGAATAATAATGTCAACGAAGTGACGCCGAGACGTTTTCTCGGCCTTTTACGTCCGCGGGACATTATTTCCTGTCTCTTTCCAACGTGAAATCGATCCTATACGATCCTCGATTTTGCATTGGATAAAATTTGGTTTTGCATTGGATAAATTAATCTGATTATAATTAAAGAAACCAAAAGCGTTTTGATTGAAGAAAATAGAATTTCTGGTGCTCAGAATCGAATTCAGTTCAAACTTTTCTCTCCGTGTATGATCGAGATGTAGAGTCGATACTGACGTTGGAAGGAGACAACAAATAATACAAACAAGAATTTACAACCGAATTTAGCTCCTAAGAATCAGAAACCCTGCTCCCTTCGAACAAGACGCGTATTTAGAACTAAATTTAGTTCATAAAAACCACAGAAATCCTGTTTCTTTTAATTAAAACACGTTTGCGTTCTCATTGTCAGATTAATTCAACCAAATTTTTCCTTTTATACATGGAAAAAACAATTCTATTGGTGCAACCGAATTTTTGATTACCCAGGGATCAGACGAAAACTCGGCTGTAGGAACATAAACTGTAGAAAAATTCCTTTATGAGGCTTCTGTACAGTCAATTGTTCTCAGTTGTTTCAACCGAGTTCTAATATCGCTGAATGTTCAGACAAATATTTTTGGTTGCGACAACAGAAATATTAGTTTTCAAAACAGAGATTTCTGATTACCTAATTTTCAGTTGGTTCCTATTCGTTTGCATCAATTGAGATTTTTTTTGCGTGTATATGATCGGGATATATAGTTGATTTTTTGGCATTAGTGATGAAGCGAAACGAAAACCTAGAATCGAATTTAGTTCATAAAAATCCAGAAATTCTTTAAACACAAAACACATTTGTTTTGTTCATTGTCAGGTTTATTTAAACATGTTTTTTTTCTCCGTGTATAATCGTGATATAGCCCCTTATACTCTCGTTTATCGATAAAAGCCTCTAAATGTGACTAATAACAATGGCTTATGAAACCTTCTAATTATTAAGTGCTTGCAGTCACGTTTGTAGGCTTTTATCAATTTACTTTTATCAATGAAAGAGAGTTTAAAATAAAGACCATGGAGTCGGCTTCGACGTTGGAAGGAGGCAATAAATAATGCGAACGAATATTTAGGACTGAATATAGCTCATAAAAACCAGAAACCCTGTTTTCTTCCATGAAAAAACGTTTGTTCGTTATTCCAAATTAACATCTATCCATTCTAAATCATAAAATTAAACATGATATTTCCACATATGTCACGGAAATACTTATCGTAAAAATTGTAGTCCACCTATTGTTGATAAATACATTCGAAAAAAGCGTTTCGTTGCTTCAAGTAGAACTCCAAATACCACAGTTAAAATCGCTGTAATTTATCGCTGTTTTTATATCTGCTTTTGAAAATTGTCTGCGATATATCGAATTTATAGCAGCAGCAGCATTCTAGTGATATCTACAGGCAAATTTATGCCCCGTTACCGATCATTAATCTGGCCTTAACTCTCTACTGTGACTCTAAAATCACAATCCAGTTTCATCATTATTTATCTCCAATATGAATGTTTCTGTTTTGACCGATGTGGCGTGAAATTTACAATATGGCTGTCTTTTTGTAATATGTTGGCAGCGATAGTAACTGCTCGACGTGACCTCAAAGTCACAAATCTATTTTGGGAAAATAAAAATTAGAAAAGTAAAATTTCGCCTTATATGTGTTGAGTATTTTAGTTTTAAACATCCTAAATACATGAAAAATTTTTTAAACATAAAAAATTAATTTAGGCAGTAATGGGTTAATCTGAATGGGCGCCACAATATCTCGCAAAACTTTACACATAAGATATAATATCTTTTTAGTGTACAGGCAAAAACTTTACACATAAGATATAATATCTTTTAAAACTAGAGTGTAGAACAATCCGGAGTAATCCACGGGACGAAAGAAAGTTCATAGATGACATCGTTGCTTCCCATATGTGGCTGCTGGCCAGGTGTCGCAAACGCACAGCCCGGAGATACGACCCGCGGCAGTAGTTAAAGTTAGCATCATGAGGGAACGCGCACGCGGGTATAAATCGACACATCGCGTTCATCCATTAGGTCCTTATCGGGACTAGCGCAATTTTCACCCGCGCCGCAAACCGGCGCCGCAAACCGGCCCCGCGAACTTTGCGATCGTAAATCAGCGCGTCGCTCGATATTTGTCGGCTTCGAACTTTAAAGTTCATCCAAGGTTATTTTGCCTGCGCAAAACGAACTCGGTCGCGCCAAGGCGAGGGCTGTGAGATATGAGAAAACGAGGTTCGTGTCGCGTTGCGGTGTCTCGCGAAAAATTCGATAAGATTTCGCGAGACGCGCGTACACTCCTCGTCGAGGAAGAGAAGGCAAAGAGAAAGAAAGAGAGTCAAAAAGCGATAGAGTAAGCGAGAGAGTGAGAGAGAAAGGAAGGTTGAGGATCGATAAAGTTTTTATCTATGTTGGACGATGTCCTCGCAGTGGGAAATTTT